AGACTGTGATAGGCATCAATTAAAACATTTGCAAATGACATACGTTTTTTAGGAGAATACGACTTCATATTTCTTTGAATATCTAGAAAGTTTACCTCATCATCATCGTCGTTATCTTCATCATCATCAGACTGTGCCATCAAGGCGAAGATAGAACATACTCAGCTGCTTCACTTTCCACTGCCATCATGGAGCTATCACCTTGATCATCATCATCTTCGAATTCGCTGGAGGAGTCTCCCCATGCAGCAAGAGCTTGTTTCACAATATTACCAGCGATATTTTTCCTCTTGAAACGTTTGTCAAGAACCAGGTTCCTCTTCGTTGCTTTGTCTGTGTTATGTTTGTATTGATCTTGCTTGGGGGGGGGGGGGGACAATCCTTGATGAAATGTCCTAGCTTACCACACTTGTGACATAGGTCATAACCTCTTGGCTTGCTGGAGCTGGCCTTCTTTGGAAAACCTCCATTTCTGCGAACCATTTTCTGGAATCTTTTTGTCAGGTATGCCATATCAGCATCCTTACCACCTGAATCATTGTTGTCCGTCTTGAGGACCAGGTTCTTCTACCTTTTGGGCTCTCTTCTCTCATTATGCTTCTTCTTCTTCTTCATTTCATAAGTTTTCAGATAACCAATAAGTTCATCAATGGTTAGCTTCTGCAAATCCTTTGCCTCCGTGATAACATTCACTTTGCTTTCTCAGGAACTGGGTAAAATACTAAGTATTTTCCTGACAAGTTTGTTTCTTGGAATGATTTCTCCCAGAGAATGAAGCTCATTGATGATGAAGGTGAACCGATTATGCATGTCCTAGATAGACTCATCGTCTTTCATCTTGAAAAACTCATATTCTGTGGTAAGCATGTCAATCTTTGATTGCTTAACCTGGGTTGTCCCTTCATGAGCTGTTTGGAGAGCTTCCCAGATTTTCTTAGCAAATTGGCATGCCGAGATCCTGTTGTATTCATCAGGACCAATACCACAGACAAGAATTTTCTTTGCTCGAAAGTTTTTCTCTATGGCCTTACGATCAACATCATTGAATTTTTTTCTTATTTTGGGAACTGTTACTGCTTAGTCACCACTGGCTTTTGTAGGGATGAAGGTTCCATCGCAGATGACGTCCCAGAGCTCTGAGTCTTCAGCCATTATGAAGTGGTGCATTCTTATCTTCCACCATCCATAGTATTGGCCATTAAATCTTGGTGGCCTGTAGGTAGATTGACCTTCTTCAAAGTTTGGTGGAGCAGCTATGAGGATCCTTTCTAGGTGTTAGCCTGATAGAAAGAACCCGCACTGATACTAATTGATAGAATTTAAGGGTCCACCAAACTATATAGAGAACCAGGTTCGTATTAGTTCCCACAGAACACACGCACACTTCAGTAAGTAAATGACGCAAAGAAGTTTTACGTGGAAAACTCCCAGCTCACGGGATTAAAAACCACGACCTACCCTTGTAGGATTTCAACTTTACTACTGAGCAAACTTTAGATTACAACCTATTGTAACCCAGGAATTAATCTCTTAATCCCTCACTAACTTGTAACACTTCTGTTACAAGCCACTTTGTAATAACTCTATTACAAAGACTTATAACTCGACTAAACCTAGCCTAGACACAAATACAAGGGTTTATAATTTTTAAAGGTTTCCTACACAATGCTTCTAACTAAGCTAAGTAGGAATTACAAGTAAAGAACTTTAACAAAGATGCAATACAACTAAGGACATGTAATAACTCAATACATAGAACTGGTCCGTTGTTATGTTGTTCTTTGTTCTTGATGCTCTTGAGAATCACTTGCCAGATTGATTAATCATTACCGAGAGTGCTTGATGGGTTCTTCAAAAGTTCAAGTAATATTTTGTCTTTGGCTTAATGTTAATATAATATTGGTGATAACACTTGAATGATGCAAGCATGTTTGGTATAAGAGCATTCCCAATGAAGTTGACTGATGCACTGTGTTGTACTGTTGCGTGTGCAGACAATAACTTTACAGCTGTTGGGAAGTTGACTAGTACGGTGACCAAGGGAACAGATGTCCATCTATTCCCCCTGCTTTTTCTCTGACTCTGAAGAGTTGAATGATAACCCCGACTTTGAGACTTGTTGATCTTAAGCACTTGAGAATGTGTAACAGGTTCCTTATCTGGTTCTTAGCATTAAGTTTGTTAGATCATCAAAATATAATATGGATACATATAACAACAGGGATACATAGAACTTATCACAAATATTTTTACAATTGAACTTTGATCCGAGTTTGCTTTGTGAGATATCCATATTTGCTTAATCTTCTCAAAGAGTTTCTTGAGACGGTAGAGTCTCGTGCTGATAACGTGGAATAAAACAATCAAGAAAAGGAGAATATTGCAAGGAAAAGAGAGAGGTAATTCTTATTGAATTTCAGATGATTTACAATGGGGTAAAGCCCCTCTATTTATAGGGGGAATAATGACTTAGCCACAAAATAACAAACTCTCTAAAAGATAGACATTCACTCTAAGTACAATTCTATTCATAACATATGAATCATTTTTACCTTAATTTATACACTTGCTAGTTAAGATCAACTAACTAATAACTACACACAACTATCCATAATAATAAGTAAAACTAGTAAACATGGTAAATTATACTGTCCTTTTTAATACAATTCGTGCATTTAATTGAAAATAAAAACAACTAAGTTGTACTTAGTAAATTATATGCATACAAGTTAAACTGAAAAAAAGACCAAATAACCTGTAAGGTATAACGTAAATACTAGTTGGTGCTATGCTTATGCACTCAAGTTAATTGAACCCACATATGTTGTTCGATGTTTCCGCATCTTTCGAAGGAAAGCTCTACTGGAGACTGGAGTTGTAGTGAGAAGAATAGACCTATTTAAAATGAAAGATACACGAAAAATTTACATTTTACTAAAGTTTTTCCTAACAAACATCAGAATGATTAGAGAGAGAATTAAACGAAACTAGACTATTTTAATTAAAAAGAAGGTTTTAAAGTAACTTATTGAATTTACAGAGTTAGTTCATGTAACTTTCCAACTAGCTAGTGGAAAGATATTTTAAGTTACTATAGAATATAAAAGGTTGGACAACGTTGCCAGGTGATTTTCTACTCTTACGTCATACTTTGCACCTTCGAAAGAGTTGATTCCAAGTGTTTAATTAGGAAGCCAAAGCTTGCCAACATGTTAAAAGTCAAAAGTGTGGGAGTTTTTTTCTCAAATCGATAAGGAAATGTGCGAAGATACTTGGATCAAATGCCGGAGAGAAATGTTGTGTTTGGAATGCAATATTGTCAGGGTGCGCTCAAAAATAATGATGGGTCTATTATAAGGTTTGTTTATAATGAGATGGTGAATTGTGGGATTCACCATGATGAAACTACATGAGTTACTGTCATCTCTGCTTGGTGATGCTAGCCTTGCCGAAGCCCTTGTCAAGATGATAAATGAGAAGGATGATCGCTTAAATTGTTTTGCCAAGACTGCGCTTCTTGACATGTATGCCAAACGTGGGAACCTAACTATGGCTAGGAAAATCTTTGATGAATTAGGTACATATAAGAACTTAGTTACGTACATGAAAAGCTAAGATTCAGGTACAATGCTCCGATTTTCATAAATTCCAAGTGCGTAAGTATGAGAGATGCTGAGAAAGTAGTTCAATCAATGAAAACTAGAGATATAGTTTCCTATAACACATTGATTACCGCAAAAAAGTATTTTTGCGGGGGTGGGGGTAGCAAGGTGGGTGGTGACGGAAAATAAACTAAAATTTGAAAAAAAAAGTCTTTTTGGAGAGAGGGGTGGGTAGGTGTGGGGTGGGATT